AAAGTAACGATTTTTTTCGTAACAAGATTATTTAGTAATATACAAGAATTATTTTTGATTTCACAAAAAAATTATATTGTTACGATATTTTTTTTTTTTGTTATTTTCGTAATTTTAAGGGAGTTAAATTAAAAGTAATTTTTAATTTACAGGAAATTAGCTGTCTAATTTCCTGTAAAATTTTTTATGTTTTTTTAAAAAACATAAAAATTAGATTTTTTTCAATTCGCAATCTTTTCCTAAATTTACAATAATTATTTTAAAAGAACTAAAATATTTATGTCTTAAAAAAAATCGTAAAATTAACAAATTTTTTTTCTAAAATTATATAAAATTATTTTGCATTTTATTAAAATATTTCGTACAATTTCGTATATATTACGAAAGAATTTCGTGGTGCGAAACCACGAAGCATTTCGTACAATGTACAACTTTTTTCGTGTATATTAGGCATGGATTATTTTCAGTGTACACAACTAGTTTTTTTATACTGTTTTATTTCTAAAGATAGCAACAAAAAAATATATTAAAAAATGTTTTAAATACATTTACCTAACAATTCAATATGAAAGTTTGAAGAAATTCTGGTTCTATCCGTATCGCCGCGTTGGTATCATTGATTTTATTTTGTCCAAAAATTCCATTCAGGCACATATCTCCATTTCGTTATAAAAACATTTGCCGTACGATAAAACAATATTAAATTAGTGCAGTATTATAATATAATAGACGTACTTACATAGAGATTTGCCTGCAACCGGACCTAAATTTACATGCACTATTTATCATAATAGAAAAATAGAAGGTAGTGTCAATCTCTCTTTATTTTTAAAATTCTACATCTGACATGCTTAAGGATTATGAAGTTTTCATAGAAATCGTTTTATTTATTTATTTATTTTATTCATTTATTTTGTAATATTAAGCCTTCACGGCCAAAATATCAATATTACATAGTAATAATAAAAACCTGAGATCAATAAATATAATTCAGTACTAATCATCTGTTGGCTCCCCACCCGTAAAAAATATATTATTAATTAATTGAAAATTAAATGCAAATAAAAAGTCCCAATCAGCAACAAAATATATATACATCATTATATAATACACTAAGTGGCATCCCGACACAGTTGCCAACCACCATCAATAATTATAATGTCAAGCATTTTGACACTTATATGTTCATATACATTTTATTATTTCCTTCAAACATCCCTGTATCCGGTTGCGAATACAAAATAAAATGTGATATATATGTATATATATATATATATATATATATATATATATACACCAGTCTACATCCAGTAAATTACTATAAAAATCGGATCTTAGAACTTTAAAAAAAGAATAACATTATTAAGTGATCTATATCATTTTGTATTGAAATTAAAAAGTTTTAAACATTCTCCTGAAAAAACACTTCTACAATTTGCCATATTACCATAAATTTCTAGGAACTTAGAAAAAATCAAAAATATTTATTAAATTTTTTATATTGTTTTTCGAAAGATTGCATAAATAGCTATCTAACTATTTGGGACACATTTTGCTAAGAACATGGATGAGAAAAAACACCTGCATGGCCATATATATATATATATATATATATGTATATATATATATATATATATATATATATATATATTATACATATATATATATATATTTTATTAAATTTTTTTAATTTGTTTTTCGAAAGATTGCATAAATAGCTATCTAAACTATTTGGGGACACATTTTTGCTAAGAACATGGATGAGAAAAAAACACCTGCATGGCCATATATATATATATATATATATATGTATATATATATATATTATATATATATATATATATACCTATATATATATTATAATATATCTATATATATATATATCAATCTATATATATCTATCTATCTATTTCTATATCTATATATATAATCTCCTATATTCTCATCCTATATACTCTCTATATTCTCTCTCATCTCTATCTCATATACCATATATGTATATATATATTATATGTCGTGTCGAATACAAAATTCTGTGGCAAAAAAGAATTGAATTGAATTGAATTGAATTGTATAATCTTCCTTTATTTACATCTTTACTTACTAAATATTTACAAATGAGATCTTATCTTTATATAGATATTACAACAAATAATGAATTGACTAGTGATATTTACAATATTTTTTTTTTACATTATAATCTTTTCTAAGGTAAAATGGGAGAAACCTTTATATGATTTTAAATGAATTCAAATATGAAGAAAAATTATATAGGTTTAAAGTTGTGCTATTAGTTGTAATAGCACCGTATAAACATATCATTTTCGATTTGGTGATTTGCATTTAACTTTGTATAATTTCTACACATTCTCTTATCATGGGATAAGAAGAACTTTCAATTTTTCATAAAACTTGTTTTTAATTCTTTTTATATAATCAGTAATTCTTTCGTAACCAGTTTCTTCATGGATAAGGTATGTTGGGTATCTCCAGTGTTTGTTATATATCATTTTGAGACATTTGTTTTGAATAACTTGCAAACGATTTAAGTGACAGTTAGCTGCAGTACTCCATACAGGACATGCATATGTTAATATGGGTCTTATAACACTTTTAAATAGAAGATTCTTATTTTTCATGTTCAGACATGAACGTTTATTTAGCAATGGCCATAGGGCTCTAAAAGCTTTAATTGCTTTTTTGCAGATTTCGTTGATATGCCGTTTGAATATAAGTTTTTTGTCCAACGTAACCCCCAAATATTTTACATCGTTTTGTATATTTATAACATTATTTCCTATTAACAAGGGACGCCGGGCCAATCTTTTAGGGGATTTGTTGAATGGGAAAATTATAGCCTGAGTCTTAATTGGATTTATTTTGATTTTCCATTTGTGAAAATATTTGTTGCAACTTACAAGTCCTTTTTCCATTTTCTTTAAGAGAGCACCGGTACTCTTGCTTGAAGTAATTAAAGCGGTATCATCTGCGTAATATGCAGTTTGCATGTACTTCGGAACTTTAAAGTCGGATGTATATATTGAATACAGGAGTGGTGACAAAACAGATCCTTGTGGCAGCCCAGTGGAAATATGTTTGTCAGATGAGGTCGTATTTTTAATTGCAACTTGAAAATTCTATCATCCATAAAATCAGCAATAAGTTTACTAAGATATTTCGGGATATTAGCAAGTAAAAGTTTATATAAAAGGCCGTTATGCCAAACAGTATCAAACGCCTTTTCTATATCTAGCAGGATAAGGCCCGTTGATATTTTGTTGTTCTTATTAGCAATTATTTTATTTTTATCCTTTTTATTTGGTGAGTAGTGCTATGATCTTTTTTGAACCCAAATTGTTCTTTAGCAACAATGGAATTTGAATATACAAATTCAATTAGGCGATGATGCAAAATTTTTTCCAATATTTTACCTAGATTGCTTAGCAAGCTAATAGGTCTGTAGCTGTTAGGGCTGTTTTTAGGCTTATTTGGTTTATTTATAGCTATAACCTTAGCGTTTTTAAAATTTTTTGGAAAATAATTAAGTTTAATGCAACTGTTAAAGAGAATGACTAACAATTTCAACGCTTTAATTGGCAGGTTCTTTAAAGTATATTAGTGATATTGTCAAACCCAGGTGATTTGGAGGCTTTTAAAGATGACACAACACTTGTTATTTCTCCAAGATTTGTAAAAATGGCGGAATCAGAAGATGGGTTCTCCTTCCTAAAATCATTAACTCTTGCGTTAATGAATTTATCCATTGAATGTTTGTAGCTTGAGGTAAGATTATTTGCTTGGACAAATGTATTTGCTAAAATTTCAGCTTTTCTCCTTATCATCTGTTATTTTGGTATTTCCATAGTTGATATATGGAATTTGGTGTTTATCTTTTTCTCGCAGACTTCTGCTAATTCTCCAAAAAGTTGTATCTCCTGGTTTTAAATTAGATAGTAATTGACACCATTTATTATTGCGTTCTGCTTTGATGTTTTTATCTATCATTTTAGTAAGAAGGTTTGCATATTGATTGTAAAATTGTTTCTCAACTGCATTTGAAGTTCTTTGACTTTTTCTTTTGTAGCTTCTTCTTAGTTTTATATATTTACAGATGTTCTCAGGCAATTCAAAATAGTTTCGTTGAGTAACTTTGGGAGTTGATGCATTTCTTGCTTCTAAAATAATGTTGGTTAATTTGTTAATTTCATTATCAATTGTTTGCTTTGAATTGTAATCATCTATATTGAATACTATATGATTGTCAACAAAATTCTTAAATATGTTCCAGTTCGTTAATCTATGATCATAGTAACTGATATCAGCAATTGAAGCCTTCGATCGTTTTATGGTGCAAATAATGGGACGATGATCTGAAGGAATTTCGTAACCCAACGTTCTTACTTCTATATTTAGTGCGGAATTACTAATTACCACATCGACCGTAGACGGTTGTCTATTACGTTGATGTGGGTATAATGTAGGACTATTTGGGTAGTATACGAAAAAGTTACAAGTTTGTTGTATGTTGTTGAGTATGACACCTGCTGTGTTACTTGTAGCACAATTCCAGGCGGAATGTTTAGCATTTAGGTCTCCTAAAACTATGTATTCATTGGCTGAAGGTGTAAGTTTATGAATATCATTAGAAAAATTATTGTTATAACGGGGCGAGTATGCAGAAGTTATTACAATCGGTCTATTATTTATTGTTATTTCTATAGATATATTTTCAATAGATCTAGTGTTAAATGTGAAGCAGTTTTTATGTTTTATAGATTTATGAACCAGTAAAGCGACGCCTCCCTCCTCTTCCATCTGACCTGTCGTTTCTGTAGAAAAAGTAATTTTTTAAAAAGGGTTTGATGCCTTCCGTTAAAAATGTTTCGTTTAATGAAGCAATTTTTATATTTTCCCTTTCGAGCAATATTTCTAGTTGTTTTAATTTTGAAAAGTATGAAATTCCATTAACATTCAAATGAAGCATTTTAAATTCGTTTGAATTAGTGTAAGCCATGAGCATACTTTACCATAGACATAACAACTTTAATTTGTTGCACTTTTGATGTACATCTTTGTAAATCTTCCATAGCAGTTGTAAAGATATCGAAAAGTTCATCGACACTAAACAGATCGGAATTATTTTTCAGCTGGTTTGCGTATGAAACGTTGGCATTCATTATATTATTGTTGCGGCTTGTTGTATTGACTAAGTTGGGAAATTCCACACCGTTGAATTGGAATGTATTTAGATTTTGCTGTACTCTGTTGTTATTATGAGATTTAGTTGTTACTCTTGCCCTCGTCTCCAGATAAAGAGAACGTAGTGGACAATTTATGTCGTTTGCTGCATGATCAGTTCTTTCTTTTCCATGTTTTTTACAATTAAAACAAGTAAAAACAGCTGGTCGCTTTTCATTTGTATTAAATGGACAAACATTTGTATGATGGTTTTCTGCGCATATCATGCAAGCGGCACCTCGATGACAATGCTCTCCACCATGACCATACATTAGACAGTTCCAACATTGTGTTGGTCTATCATTTTTCTTCGGTCTGTATTTTTTCCATGTAATAATTACGTTAGCTATAGTTCTCACATTTTTTAAAGAACTTGGATTAAAGTTTTTTCGAATAAATTGTACCTTATACACTGCATTATTATCCGAGCTAAATTTGGTAATAATTTCAGTTACAGCAGATGGTGACAAGTTGTAGCTCTCCAATTCGGATTTGATATCGTCTGCTTTGATACGAGGTAAGCCATGCAAGAAGGTGGTGTATAACCTATTATCTTTCGAATTATACGAATGGAACTCAATTTGATTTTCCTTTAGTGTTTGCATACAGCTTTTATATACTGCCTGGTTTGGAGTGAATACTTTGGTACCAATGGAAGTACGCTTAAAAAAGCATTCCTTACCTAATAAATTTTGGATTTCGGAAAATGATACATTGATTTCCACTACAATAGGTGGTGGCTTACGTTCCTTTACTTCATTTATATTTGTTGCTGGAGCTACATCCATATCATTTTGACCCCCCAGGATACTAAATCTATTTCCCAACGAAGATGGAATATTTGGATAAACATGCCCTGGTTGTTTAGTTGACTTTATCTTAGCATTGCGCTTTTTGTTCCTAGATTTTTGGCCCCTGGGGCCATTTTAGGTGGTGTGTTATTAGTTTCTATTTAAAAAATTGACTATCACGTGTGAGTTCAATAAGAACGTGTGTAGGCAATTACAAAAACAATAGTGTTATCTTTATTTTAATATGTATAAAGATTTGCTGTGCGCTTATGTTGCTGAGACTACCGTTCGTTATGAATATCAGATGTGAACTGTGGCAAAAAAAGAAAAAGTACTTATCTCAAGTAATTCAAAAGTCTCTTTTTTTCGTTTAAAATCAATGTACAACAAGTCTACATCCAGTAAATTACTATATATATATATATATGTCGTGTCGAATACAAAATTCTGTGGCAAAAAAGAAAAAGTACTTATCTCAAGTAATTCAAAAGTCTCTTTTTTCGTTTAAAATCAATGTACACAAGTCTACATTCAGTAAATTACTATAAAAATCGGATCTTAGAACTTTAAAAAAAATAATAACAGTATTAAGTGATCTATATCATTTTGTATTGAAATTAAAAAGTTTTAAACATTCTCCTGAAAAAACACTTCTACAATTTGCCATATTACCATAAATTTCTAGGAACTTAGCATAATTTTTTAAAATATGGCAATGCTTTATTCAATTTTAATAAAAAAGGAAACTTCACAAAACCTTATGACACTACCTTCTTTATTTTTATCATGCTTTTTCGTTCTTCAAAAGGTACTTTTGAATTTTCTATGATTTTGAACCTAGAAACATGAAATTAAGCATGTAGAGCTCGGATTAAGTAAGAACATATAAACGGGGACTTTTTGATACTTTTTCGTTATTTAACTGAGTTTGTTATAATTTGAAAGAAATTTGAAATAAATCATTAGTTCTTCAACTGGTACATTTTAAGTTTTCTATTATAATGAACCTTGAAACATGAAACTAAGCAATCAGGGACTTGAGTGAATGGAAATTTAAAATGTATTTATTATCTGGTACTTTTTCCTTATTTAACTGGTACTTTTTGGATTTTCTATAATATTAATTGTTTAATAATTAAACATAGGAACATGAAATTAAATAAAAAGGAGAGGAGTGGCAATTATATACCTCCCTAGTCACCTAGGCGGGTGGTGGTCGGTCGGCTAGTGGTGACATGGTATATTATCACCTAGAGGCAATGGACGAAAGCTGATTGCCGTATTCAGGGGGTATCCTTGGGATACATACTTATTATTATACCATTGATCTCAGCAGAATCACTACCATACACCCATAATAGAGCGCGATGTCTGTCTGGTGTGCTTTTCAGTGAAGCTCTTGTCTCCAAACACTATGGTGGCCAAATATTTACAAGAAACAATTGTTAAGCCGCCTTTTATACAAATTTATAGCTTTGTAGAGAATGTCTTCACGGACCTAGAGGATATAACCTGGCTAGGTATGTAGATGTTGTTTGGGCAAAATATTGGTACTAACCATTGTGGGCTTTATGTCGACTTTAGGTCCCTTATAGTTGTCTCACTATACCAAATAAGCATTCTTGCTGGAATTAAAGTTTAAAACAAGTTTAATTCCAGTCAAACATTCAAATTTCAAGTGTTGAAATACACTTTAATTCAATAGCATTCTCCAGTGAAAACGAAACTTGAATTCAAGTCGAACATTACAATGTTTTTACAGTAAAATTCAATGCACGAAATCTATATACATACATACATACATATGTAAAATTCTAACGTTACTGACTGACTGATTCATCATCGTAGAGCCTAAACGGTTTTAGCTTAAGAGCTGAAATTTAGACAAGAGGTTGGTCTCCCACCAAATAGATCCACTTAGACGGGATTTTTGGAAATTCGAATGATTAGGGGGTTAAAAATGGTAAAAACGGGTAAATTCGGTAACCTCATATCTCCTAAACTATAAAAGATACAAAAACAGTTTAAAGCTTATCGTCGTTCATTTAAAAAATAAGCGGGCAGGTGTCTGGTACTTTTTTCAAATTCGGCCCCTTTGGGGAATTAACGGGTAGAAACTGTAATTTGGTACTTCTTTTGCACCCCATGTATCTTTTAAACCAGAGAACATTCAAAAAATATTTTTGAATCCTTCATAACTTGACGAACAAACAAAAATATGAATTTAGTACTTTTTGGATATTCGGACGTTTAAGGGGTGAAAATTGTACCTATTTTTGGTACTTTTTTATAAAACATTGTTTTTGGTTTATTAACTTATACATATGAATACATAATAACGGGCTCCCAATACGATGTTGCAACTAGTACTTTTTTGACTTAGAACTTAGAAACATGTAATTAAGCACTTGAGAATCTATAAAAGTGGACTTTTTGGTACGTTCTTCAAAAGGTACTTTTTGAGTTTTCTATTTTTCGTTCTTCGACTGGTACTTTTTGAATTTTTATAATATTGAACCTAGAAACATGAATTTAGGAATGTACAGCCCGGATTAAGTAATAACATATAAAAGGGAACTTTTTGGTACTTTTTCGTTCTTCAAAAGGTATTTTTTGAATTTTCTATAATATTGAACATGGAGTAAGTGAGAACATATAAAACGGGACTTTTTGGTACTTTTTCGTTCTTCAACTTGTACTATTTGGATTTTCTTTTATAATGAACCTAAAAACATAAACCTAAGCAATCAGGGACTTGAGTGAATGAAAATTTAAACTGGAGTATTTCTGGTAATTTTTCGTTCTTTAACTGGTACTTTTTGAATTTTCTAAAATATTGAATATATAAACATAAAATTAAACACGCAGTATCCTAATTGAACGAAAATTTATCTCGCTTACGTCCATTTTGCAAAAAGGGCTCGATATCAATCGAAATCTCTATAGGCCATAGTTGACCCTGCCCCCTTCAATAATTGATTTTAACGTTTTCTACGTACTTAATAATACCATAATAAAACAATTTTTGTTGGAACGAAAATATGTAATGAAATCTTCTTCAGAAAATGACTTAAACGCACATAAATGGCTTTCAAATGTCGATGTCGACGAAATAAACATTTTTAGGAACCGAAACCTACATTTATGAAAAATAAAATTATGAGGATCGGTCCGCCAATATAACCCTCTTACAGAAAATCAGTTTATAGCTAATACATCATTCCAAAAGTTATCATTATGATAGAATTATGGTAGAATTAAAAAAATACTTTAAATTATATATATTATTGATCCAATTCCACATTTACGTCCCTAATCCGAAAATCACGGTGACGTTCTTATTAATCTAATGATCGGACCACTTCCGAAATTTGCTTTTTTACGACATATGATTTGCCGAATATAACTCTTACTTCTTACTTATTTTAATCATAAATTACCGCTAAAATAGGAATAGTCTTCCTTTAGAGTT